TTGTGAAGACAAATGACTTTGGTCGAAAATAAAAGAAACACACACCATGGTGAACCACATTTATTGGATATCTACAACTATCAAAATCCATCTATGAAAGGATCTTGGTTGTTTTTAAATCACATAAAACACACCCTCATTAAAAATACTGTTATAATATTAAAATTTGTCTAAATTAACGTATTATAGTTTAAAATTTGACATTGGAAAAATGCTTACAAAAATCCAAATAAAAATTGTGTACTGAAATACGAGTAAATTAATGCAATCTTTGGCTACTGATTTGTCTATATAAAATACAAGATCATGAGTGCAAAAAAATGATGGAATTATACAGGGTGTATAATTCTAACTCCTTGGGTCATTTTTGTAGGCGTTCAGGATCCCGGGGGCACTGCGATCGACGCCTTCTGATCTAATAAATTACGAATTTTTATTACATTTACCACTTTTATTATGACTACTATGACAGTTTAAGCTAGGAACTGTCTATTTTTATAGCATTTTTCCTTAGATCTGATGACGTCAATCCTGCTGCCCCCTGGCTGCGGACTGCCTAACTTACTCTAAAACTATGGGCAATGTCAACAATTCATGGACCTTGTCCATCACATCTAATGCGTACGCGCCTATCATTGTTGGCTGTTGTTACCTTTTTGAACCAATTATACAAAACAAGGATAAAACTAACAGAGTAGCAGAGAGTGAAACTGCAAAAAAATAATTTTATAAGACCAAAGTATTTTTCTCTGATCTGCAACATTATGTTAAAGCCACTATATATTTTTTTATCAATGTGAATTATGCTCCGAATGTTACCTAATAAAATATTCGATTGTTTTTAAAAAATGTGTACCACATTTTGCGTAATTTATTTAATATTAACGAATATTGGTATGTGGATAAGCACACATACTAATTGTAAGAAAACTAATTTTTGTTTTAAAATGATTATTTTGCTGTTCTATAAAATGTACATAATGAAGTTACTTAATCTGCTTTAATAAAAAATATTTGGTACTATTTGTTGAAGCAATGTGTTTAGTTTATGAAACTCAATGTGAATGACTTTTTTCGTTGATCTATAGTAGGATCGTGTTCGAAGCAAAGTAGAGCAAAAAATTGTCGGTCTTTTATCAAAGGAAAATCATGTCATCATTATTAGGACGCGTAAGATCATCATACGCATTGTTCTGGTAGTAGCTGTAGTCGCCCATGTGCATCGAGTGTACGAAGTGGTCGGTTATACGTCAAATACTATCCTGGCGAACTTGGTCGTAAATCAGAGATCGCCTCCAAAAAACAAGTATACAATAGTGGCGCGTACAGTGGTAAAATGTATTATATAATAAAAAATGAATTGTATTTATAATAAATTACATTTAAAATAAATAGTTTATGAGAATAAAGGCATTTTTGTAGGAAAAGAGGTGCCAGACGTGAACTGATCCCTTCATTCCTACATAATGCATAAAGAAATTATTCAATTTCTAAACCCCTTAAAACCGTACTGCACTTGATTCATTGACTGGTAATGATTTATTACTTTGCATCGAATTTAATCCTACTATAGTTTAGTAGTTAATATCATGATATTAATCCAGCTGATGTGAAGAAATAAACGGGCAATGAAAATTAAGCAAAATTAAGCCGAATATTTATTTTAGTTTTCAGATTATAGGTTTACGAAAAGGTGTTTGGAGTGCGGTAGGTTTCGTGATATGTAAAATATTAGTTTTTCAGTACGGTATGTTTATATAATATCTTCCATTATAAAATTTTTATGTGATATTTGGAAAAAACATGTTTACGAATCAATAAAGTTGAGATTTGTCGACAACGTATGTTGCACCAGCGGATAATGCATACTGTTGTTTTAGTATGTACTAACCTGTCCAGCGACGGGCTATGAAAATTGGGAAGAAAGGTTAAAAAATCATCTTTCACGATGAGACATGGAACAAGGTGAATCAATGTTCCAACAGACGTCTATTTTAGGTCCTTTATTATTTACAATTTACTCTTTGGAAATTCATATGTTATTTTACTGATACCTAGTACTTTTATAGAAAAAGATATACAACTAAATTGTTAATAGGTATTAGGTTATTTAATGATCAGTTGCAGCCAACAAGTCGTAAGAAATCTGGATCTAGCTATAAACACTTCCTTAAAGTTCACTGAACAGGAGAATATGATCTTTTGGTAGATCCAAATTAATATTTGCAAATAAAGAAGTACAGAAAATAGAATTGCCTCGTGTGAAGCATTGATATTATAACATTTAAACTATTATGATTCGGTTTATTTTTAATGAAATGCGATTAATTATGTAATATTAGTAGGCGTCAATACATTTCCCTGAAAATTCAGGTAATTGATTAGTTGAAAATGGGACAACAACAATTCCTCCACAGCTGTTGCTTATTTCATAAAATTTTATACCAAATCTTTACGATATAATTAAACGCAGAACTGACATTCATAACTTAAATTTAAAGTTTACATGTTATTTATATCTTTTTAACTTGATATTACATTTTTGTCAACACCTATTTAAATACATGGTATTACATTTTCCCATTTACCTTCCTTAAAATTTTATTAGGAAATCAAATTTGAGGTAACTTGAAAGAAAAAAAATAGGAACAAAAATTACTAAGAACATACCCAGAACTACACGCTTCTGTAAGAAAAAAAAACATAACGTTATGTTGGTTGAAAATCAGTAACGAAAAATTCTTATCAAATATGCTTTTTCGCAATTTCAGAAAAAAGACGTATTTTTTTTTAATCACTTCAGGTTTTACGAAAATATGTTCTTCTTAATTTCAGACGTAGAATTCACCCTTCGGAAACGTTAAACGTCAATTTATGCGCACTTTCAGTGTATTCTACTGCGAATTTATGCAGAGGTAGACAACGAAGGTGTTTAAAAATTTTTTTTTAACATTGATTTTTTCGGATGAAGAAGATATACTAAAATAAAAGACATATGTGTGAGAGTGATGACGTCACCGACGTTTTTTTAAATACAAATGAAGGCCATGCGAAACTCTTTTGAAAGGTCTTGAAATTCTCTATTTAACCATATCAATAAATTTAGATAATAGAATTTTATATAGTGCCAAAGGAAAAATTCTAAAATTAACAAACTACTTCAATACCTAATATAAATGCCATTCCTACGAGGCTTTTTAAGATTCCCGGTAAGAAATCTAAATTCAGTAAATCAATAGATTTAGAAAGCTGCTATTTTGCAAATATTCGTCTATTACCAATGCATGTATTCATACATAATTACAATATTCCTAGTAAACCCAGTTTCGTAGAAACGTGAGTTTCTCTAAATTTTATATTAACGAATAAATATTTATAAACAAATGCCATGTTGACTTGAAACGTGCTAAGATATGAATCGAAAAAAAATGCAAGATAATATAAGGTCAAATTTACTAACGGCAAACAGCAGCAATTAAAATAGTTGAAAAAATGTGTATCTCGGAGAAAGTATCTTACTTTAACGTATAAATCAGTTCCGAACTTTAATATATTGTACGTAGAAAGTACTAGTAGTCAAGCAATTAAGCAGTTAATATTTGTAATAGCTTCCTATTAATCGGGAGTCGAACAAGTCCATTTTAATCTTTTTTGAGTAACAAGTATTACTTACAATTAGTTAATTTTTCTGTCGCAGAGTGTTGAACTTTACAACAAAATCACATATACTCAAATACAGGGTGTCCGAGAGATATTTTCCCAGGTAATACCTCGGAAATGGTTGGGGATTAAAAAAAATTCTTTATACAAAAGTTGTATGCTTTTAGAAAAACCATAGAATTATGTTACAGAACCCCAGGTGGAGACTAATGAAAATGAGCAAATGAGAAGTTTTTTAAGTGGGACACTGTATTTTTTTTATTTTTTATTCTTCGTAAAATTTGAGGACCACTTTGTGTTGCATTCCCTATATACCTACAGTGGTTTAGGCGGCAATTAATATTTTATAAAAAAATTAAAATTAAAATTCCATTGTTGGCTCAGCACGAATATCTTGACAAGTTAACATCAATTATCTCCGAAACCAATGTGTTTATTTGTATATTTCAAATGTCCCGAAATATACAGCGTATCCCATTTAAAAAAAAATTAAGTTACACATTTTACAGTTTTGTTAGTTACCCTATAGATTCTATAACACAATGATTTTATGGCTTTTGTAAAACCATACAACTTTTGTATAAAGATTTTTTTATACCTCGAACCATTTTCGAGATATGGCCTGGGAAAATAGCTCTGGGGTATTTTTGCCATTCAATTATTCTGATTCTTACCTCGTCGTTGACAATATTCAACCAATAATAGTCAAAATTATTTGAATTATGTGAAACTTATCTATCATCATTTAACAAAATCAATTAAAAATAAATAATGAAAATACGAAATAAATGACACCATAAAAAGAAAATAGATGTGTCAACTAGTTCCTAAAATTTTGATTATTTTTGGTAGAATATTTTCAAGGACGAGGAAATAAAATAAATGTTATATGATATCTTATATGTATATCTAAGGAAGGTAGATAAACAAAAAGAAATAAATTATCATATTTTACTTTTGCCAATTGGTAAGAGAACACAGTCTTTCGAAACTTAGAATTATCTGCTTTGTCAGTGTGATATATTTTTGGTTAGGCAGAACTAGGTACCGTGATAAAATCAACCCTTCGACTGATCCTTTTGGTGCAATGGATTATTTATTAATTTTTTTTTTCTTTTCACTGTGATAACAACCACTTAAATAAAGACAGAAACTAAAAATACCACTAATAAATAATTACAGACAAAATCTCTGAAGAATTTATATATATTTTAATTAAGAAAAAAAGTTAATAACAACATCAAAAGGAAACTTATCTATTCTCAGATTTATTAGGAAATAGAAATTAATACGATTTCTTTAGACAAACATTTATTATTATATATGAACAGATTATCACAACTTGTTTGTCAAGTCAGAAAGTAGTAACAGGTAAAATCAATATTACCTACTAGACTAGTGTAAAACAACGGAGTCATACATAAGTGGTAACATACCAAATCTTTCGTCAAATACACTGCAATCATATAGGGCGTCCGAATATTTCATTTGTGTATTTAAACTTTACGTATAAATATATTAAAAACCTCAAATAAACATGGAACTAGGTCACCTTATATCAACATAAACATAGTGCCTTTAGAAAGAATTTTGAAATATATAACCATGTCTTCATCCATAGAATTACCTCGCAAACATACAAAATAAATTCTGGACAATCTGTACAGCAGAAAATCGGTCTGTATACATTATCGACTCAATCCTGATGATTTCGAATTATGAACTTGAGCGTGGAAACCAGTTTTCCAATCCGCATAATATTTAACAGTCCTCACATTTCCATTGTCTTCCACAAGAGAATATTCTCCTCGCACCACATCACCATTCTTCTCCTCCTTATGAGATTTTATGTCATGCGTATGATGATCGTTCACTCCGTACTCAAATTTGTAATGGTCGTTTTTGCCATGATGATGATCTGCAGCACAATTGACCTTTATCATATTCATAAACATGTAGGTATTGTAGGTATCAACACATTTTAACATATTTAAATAACTCAAAATTGATTATTAGACATTATTAAATGGACAACATCGCTTGTTTTTTTTTTTTTTTCTTATGAAAATATTACATTGTTTTAATGTTTTATATTGTTATATGTTACTATTTTCAAAAATAATTTGTTTCGCAGAAATAATATCAAATGTTACAAAACATATATTCCAACATATGTCCAAGAAATGGTTGGCAATTTCTCAGATTTGGGTAGGGCTTATAAAAATAACCTTACTTTATATGATTTTTTTTCGAGCTCACCCTATAAAGCTATTAGCCCTTAAAGTTGAGATTTCGCTATAACTTTTCATTTTTCTGTAATTTTTGGATGATATTAATTAATTAATAAGATTAATACCTACTATTTGAACCAATTTCTCAAATTTACAATTTACTGCTAGCTACTTTAATAGGACGGAAGCAGAGAGCTCTTTGTAGTCTTGGCCCCCTAAAGAAAAGGTGAATTAACCAGTATGGACTAACTTTTTAATATTTTATTTAATTTTTACGCCGTTTTTAAGAGGGTAATTCACTTAACGTTCTACCCCCCTTATGTTTTTCACCTTTCTATCTAAGAAAAATGGTAAGAATAAAAGTTTCCGGAAATTTTCCTGTGATATCAAGGAATTTTATAAAAAAACAACTGACTGCTGAATTTGGAAGATATGAACCAAATTTTTGTTTTAACGAAATACTCAAATACAGACTTATGACAAAATAATATATATTTGTCATTTATTCTTCTGACAATGGTATAAACATGTCATATATTTGGACTGTCAATTTGCAAAACATTTTGGTTTATTTACTGAAAAGTATACGGGGAGTCGAATGTTGTATGAAGAACTTTGTACGTTTATACGTATTTTATACCCATACAACAAACCGGTTTCGATATAAATAATGAAGATATACTATTTTCGAAATATCTTAATAGTAATAAAAACATAAAAACATGATTTAATCCTTTGTACAGCAAAATAACAAAATTTTCCTACATAAAAACCATTTGTTGTTTTTAGGTTTTTATTACGATTAAGTTATGTAATATACAGTATGTCCGCGGATTCAGTTTACAAGAGGACAAATCGTCCAAAAAGTGAAAGATACGAAAAAAGCCATTCTTGATAAAAGTTTTTGCTTGTTTAGAAAATACGAATTACCATGACAAACTTCATTTTTGTTTTACAGGGTGGGTCAAAAACACAAAAATGTTAATTTGCTTAAGAGTAAACATACCTTATTTTGCAGGATACGAAAAAAAGGCATTCTCAATGAAAGTTTTTTCTTGAAAAATGAATAAGAGTCTATATCTGTCCATGCCATACTTTTACAATAACACCTGCAATAGAATATCGTACTTAGAAAAACATTTACCATTAAATTTTCGCCAAGAAATGTATTTTCAACAGGGTGGTTGTTCAACATATTGTGTTCGTGAGGTAACAGAATGGCCTAACCATAGATTTGGTCTAAGATAGATTGGTAGAAATGGTCCAATTTTGTGGCCCTCTAAGACCTCTTTTATGCACGCGTTTTTCTCCTCTCAACGCGAAATTGAGAAAAACGCGGCATATTTTTGCTCCATTTTATGCACGCGTATTCTATCAGTTGTCGCCAGTTTCATGCCACACAGTAGTCAGTGAAGTACATGAAAATGGATCCGTGTATATTGTATTTGTGCTATAAAAAAATATGTAATAGAAAACGTAAGAGGCGATGGGCAGTACATCCAATTAATAGAAATAGAATTCAATTGCGTCCATTGCATCCATGTCCCGCTTGATCAATAGCTAAACTAAAACTAAAACAAACTGTGCTAAAACTATTCTTGACAGACAGAGCCACTGGACTTGCGACAAAGAGCGCTTTGCATAAAAACGCCGATATACTTTCGTGCTTTTTCGGAACGCGTGTCGCCAAGCGTTCTGTAAAGCCATCGCGACAGATTTGAAAACGCGAGAACAAATAAACGAGCGTAAAATGCATAAACGTAGTAACTCTATTCAGGGTATCTTGAAACGCGGCGTTTTTGTCAACTCCGCGTTGAGAGGAGAAAAACGCGTGCATAAAAGAGGTCTTAGAGCCCTGACTTAACCATGACCGATATCTTTGTATGGAGCCGTTTAAAACAAATTGTTTATGCTACTCCAAAACCAAATAATATTAAAAGGTTAGAAGGCAGAATGTTCCAGTCCGTCCGTTCAATATCCCAGGAAGATATCAGAAATTCCTTCAGATATTTAAGGAAGCAATTAGAATACCTAATGTGTTCAATATGGGTATGGTATTTTTGAAATTTGATATCTTCATCAATTGTTGTAATTATGTTCTTATTATTTAAAAATTACACTTAATAAGACGTATTTTAGTTTTATACTTTATTCCCTGTATAAAAAATCAAATTTTTGATAACCTGGCTCTTATTCATTTTTCAAGCAAAAACTTTTATCAAGAAAGCCTTTTTTCGTATCTTGCAAAATAAGGTAAGTTTACTTTTACGCAACATAACATTTTTGTGTTTTTGACCACCCCGTACAACAAATTTGAAGTTCGTCATGGTGATTCGTATTTTCTAGCCAAGCAAAAACTTTTATAAAGAATACCTTTTTCTCGTATCTTTCAGTTGTTGGTTCATTTGTCATCTTGTAAACTCAATCCGCGGACGTACTGTATATATTCATTGTTAAACGCGCTTATCTCGAAAACAAAACGTTATATCGATAACATACCTTTTCAACTTAAAAACATTCGAAAGTCCTAGAAATGGTGACCAAAATTATAAAAATTTAAGAGAAGCAAAAAGTTACAACGAAAAATAGATTTTCAACTCTCAACTTCAAAAGTTAATAACTCTACAGGGTAAACTCGAATAAAAGCTACTGACGCTATTTTTGCAGGCCATCCCAAATTCGAAAGATTACCCACCATTTCCTATATACCCTGTATACATATTTTCGAATTACACTCAAATTTTTTACTAAAAACTCTGAGTTAAAGATTTGTTGTTTATCCTAAATAAATATCTAAAAAATGATATATTATTCAGTATTACGTAACAATATCTAAAACTGAAGTAATACGTAGGTATATCACCTCATATTGAATTTTAGTTTTACTTGTATTATTCCATTAATATAATTGGAAGAAGGAGTCCTTAACATTTTTAATAGGTATATGTATAAACTTACCTTTCTCGTGTTCCAAACTATTGGCAGCTTCAACAGAACTATCATGAGGACTGACCTGCTGCTCAATTTTTATATAATGGTTGGCATCACTAGTGGACACCTTTGAAATCTGCTGCTGTTTCAAATTGTCATTAGATACTGTCAATTCTGTATCAGCTGCTCCCTGTCCTTTGTAATCAAATGACGGTTGTTGCGACGTCTCTTGAAGTCCCAACGCAATATCACCAACCCCCAGCTGTGGAGAAGCTCACAATAAAATAGAAGGAAAAGATTTTAAATTTGCAGATAATAAAAAATATACATCTACATACAGATGATGTCTCAGTAATGATTGAAAATGGTGAATTCTTTATTTACTTTTTCGGAAGGAAGATCAATTTTGGGGAAATTTGATATACCTGTACTTGTTAAAGTTTTTGAGAAGTCTCGGGAAAACAAATCTATTTCCAAATATATTTGACGTAGATTATTGAAGCGTGCAATTTAACTTAGAAATATAAAATTTTCTACATCACTGACTTTTTCGAGCTTAATGCTTACATATTTATTTTTAAAATTGCATTTGCAAGAAAAAATCCTATAATTTTGTTTGGTGAAATTTCTAAAATACTCAGCGGCGTTAAAATTCTGGGGTTTTCAATAACAGTATTTTCAGATATTTCCTCCACTAGTTAGTTTAGCTAAATCGTCAGCACAAGTTTAATTATTTTACATCGAATATTTTTTTAGAGGTACTTCTGTGTTTTTGATATTTTTAAATAAATTTAACACCCTATATCGAAAACTAAGTAATTTGTTCCAACCATCTCCTAGACAACCTATATAAAAGAAACGCTACAAACTGTTATACATTATGTAATATTCCTTCCATCACAGCAATATTAAATAACATGTCAGCCTTCTGATGACTATTCATTGGAGTTTTCAAATCATAATGTATTATAAGACCTTTAAATATTATGAAATTATCCTAAAGGAGTGGTGAAAAACTCGTAAACGAAGGATGAAAAAAATTGTTTAACAACGTTATTACAAGAATACTTACGAAAATTGTTATTTTTGACATAATATTTCTTCTTTACTACACATTTATTTGGTGTACCTGATTTCTGAAAGCTGTTTACAAAAAATATATTGGTACAGCTTTTAACCTTTGCACCTCCTTAATTGTTTCTTCATCATCTGTAAACTGCTAGTTCTGCAAATATTCTTTAAAAAATTCAATCAAACAATACAACACTTCTCAAATTTGAGTGAATAATGAATATAGTTTTTAAAGCAGCAGTATGCGCGAAGGTGTTTCGATTTAGCAAAAGTAATAACTATTAACAACTAACAGCAACTCAGGGTTACTCTGAACTGATAGTAGTTACTATTTTTACTAAATTGTTGTCAACAATTGCCTTTTTTACTCTACTTCCGGACAATTCGATGAGATTGTCTTATCTTGTTTACTAGCAAAGCACTGTATCAAATATCGATCACAATTTCATTTTCTTCAAAGTATATCTATGTCACTAGAGGATGGTTAGGACTTATGAGGAAATATAAAATGGCAAGTATTTGTACTACAATGACACCCATCTACAATTTGAAGGAACATTTGTTTGAAACGATAATAGAGGCAGTATGAAGTTGATTAAAATCCACACCAAAACTATTTTTTTTTTTGTAAAGGGCAAGCAGAAGGATCCTGAGGCGCAATGGATCCAAACAATTTTTGAAATCACATAACAATGTTATTAGACAATCTGTCTTATTTAATTACCTTCCCTAGTAAGAATTTAATAGGTGTAAATATTTATGATTACCTACTTAAATATTGATTTTTCAGAGATGTTAAGGTTTGAAAATTATTTTTTTTTTTTCTAATACACAAAATAATGTTGTATAAACTTTCATTTTTTTTTAAGGACGGGATTTTGTACAAAAAATATCGCCCAGCGTGAGTCACGAAACGGGACCCCGGCAGGTGCTGCTCTAGCGGCCAACGCTTCAAGTCTAATAATTTACACTGCAACCATATTCGCCCGATTTTTCAGGAACGGCTCCAATTTGTGTATATACAATCTTATAAGGAAAGAGAGTAAATATTTTATTAATCAGTAATAGATTATCGAGGACAATAATATTTTTTTATTGGGTAGGCAATAATTTTTAGTTAATAAGCTTAAACAATCTTATAATTACTATTCCTTCATTATAAAAACAGAAATACGGTTTTTAAAATTACATGTAGTTTCTTCTTCAAAAGTGACGTTAAAACACGTATAACATGGAATAGTCAACAGTCTAATGTTTATATTTTCACATTAACAATGCGATAATGTAAATTAACTGCTATTTTCAGTAAAAAAAATATATACCTAACCTGAATTATTTTTTTACTTTGGCGAGTCGTATTAACTTAAAAACACTGCTTAATTACTAAAATATATAGAAACTTGCTACTAATTACGTTTGGAGAATAATATGTATAGGCATAAAATATATATATAATATTACTGTATGTATTTAGTCCATTGAAATGAAGGCTGAACCTCCATTTTTTCCTCTGTCGATCAAACCTGGGCGCAAATATGTTTTCGACCCTCAGGAATCCGAATCCGCAAAAATTTTTGACCTAGGTGATCAGGCAAGGGGTCAAAAGGTCAAAAACCCGTAAAAATAAGGTTTTTCGCAAATATCTTAAACTACGGCAAGTAGCAAAAAAATAATTGCACCATCGTGTTCCCAGGGAAATTTTACATCGATTTTATGCTATTGCTTATTAAAATTAAATAAATTTATGTCATGTTTTGGACAATTACCAAGCAATATAATGCGATTTCAAATATAATTAGCCTGCAGTTATAGTGGATCTGAATTCAATTGCCAGATACACTATTTTTTTTGCTACTTACTTTAATTTTTAAATGGAAAACCAAAAATAATACTAATGAAGAACAGAAAAAAAACTTTTTTAGAACGAAATACTTATTGCAAAAATGAAATATAGTGCTCTGAAAAATCGACTTGTAAAGCTTATTCTACAAATACTAAAAAAGTCAAAATTTGTATAAACAATTGTTCCCAGAATGACAACTTTTTATTTCTAAATTTTGAAGACTTTTGAAGAATTGAATAATGAATAAAATAAGCCTAGTAGTCCGGGCGAATTAGGTTTTTTTTCAAAAATCGGGCCTAAATCTAATCTAAATAAATTTTAGTGTCATCTAGACACTTGAAGGAACACAGGAAAATTTGGAAAATAATTTTTAACTTGACTTTTGTTAAAGTTATTCAATTGTTAATGAACTAATTTTTCGTGGACTTAATCTTTCATAAAATTTGTTGTAAAAGTTTAAATAATGTATCTAAAAATTTTTTTCTTTCTCGAAGGTCTTTTTATATACATAATAAACAAGATTCCGTTGTAAAAGTTTATAACAGTTTTATCATTTGTTTATAATGATTTTTAAAGTTAACAAAAAATGAAAAATCCGGGAAATGTTATAAATTTTTTTTTTACCAAATGTTTGATTTTACTTGTTTTTCTATTAATATATTGCGTTTATTAACTTAGCTATAACAAATTTATAAACAAATGGACAAGTTTAATATTTTTGAAACATTTTTTTGCTATTTTATTGTCTTGGTAAAATAATGATTTTTAAAAACAAAAATTTTTCTTGAATAAATTTTTTAATTGTTTATAATCGTTTTTTTGATTTATTTGTCATTTAAATTATTTATTAAGAATTTTTTTTTAAATCATCATTTGCTATTATCAATATAATTACAAAAAAAAAATTATTCAAATTTTCATTGTTTATTTTATAACTCAAAAGTTCATTGTATTCCGTAAATATCTTCCAGGCTGCACAATTGGTTAAAATTTTGAGTTTCTGCTCTTACAAAAGTTAAGTGTTTAATTAAAAATAGACAAAATTGAAGAAAACAACAAGAAGAATATAAAATATTGACATTAGTTAGAAAAAAAGTACAGAAAATCCAGAAAATGTACCCTTAATCGTGTGATAATTTAAACAAATAAAAAAACATCGTAAACAAATGGAATAAAAAATATAAAAAAATTTTTATTGAGTAGTCCAGTAGTTACTCTATAAAATTGTCTTAAATAGTGGAATCCGTAACTTCAATAGTTTAAAAGTTTTAGTCATTTAAAGAATTAGATAATGCATTTTTTTATATACAAATGTTTATAAAAATATAACCATTGTAGATATGAAGCAGGTAAAAAAATTCATGTTATAGATCAATAAATTATCTAAAAGATCTACCTGAATGTCAAAGACCGTATCATCAATAATTTAGAAATTATAACAATTTATAAGTTTATCAAATAGGTGACCGTTTCAGCTTTGATGTGATAAAGTATTTAAAAATGCAATAAAAATTAGAAAAAAATGTTATTTACCACTTTGATGCACATAGCTGTATTTATAATTCGTTAAAGTTACGAAAAAAAAATAAAATGAAAATCAGAATTTGTTTATAACAAATTGTTTATAAAATAAACAATGAAAATTTGAATAAATTTTTTTTTTTAAATTATATTGATAATAGCAAATGATGATTTAAAAAAAAATGATTTCTTAATAAATAATTTAAATGACAAATAAATATAAAAATCGATTATAAACAATTAAAAAATTTATTTAAGAAAAATTTTTGTTTTTAAAAATCATTAATTTACCAAGACAATAAAATGGCAAAAAAATGTTTCAAAAATATTAAACTTGTCCATTTGTTTATAACAAATTTATAAACAAATAACGTTAAAATTTTTTTAGCTAAGTTAATAAACGCAATATATTAATAGAAAAACAAGTAAAATCAAACATTTGGTAAAAAAAAATTTTTATAACATTTCCCGGATTTTTCATTTTTTGTTAACTTTAAAAAATCATTATAAACAAATGAAAAAACTTTTATAAACTTTTACAACGGAATCTTGTTTATTATGTATATAAAAAGACCTCCCAGAAAGAAAAAAAATTTTAGATACATTATTTAAAGTTTTACAACAAGTTTTATGAAAGATTAGGACCACGAAAAATTAGTTCATTAACAATTGAATAACTTTAACATAAGTCAAGTTAAAAATTATTTTCCAACTGGGCTGTGTTCCTTCAAGTGTCTAGATGACACTATAATTTATTTAGATTTTTAAATTAATATTGAATACTATAAAAAAATTATTTTGTGTTGCACACTTTGCTTGGCGGCGACGCGACGACGCGGAAACCGCCGCCGCCGCGCGGAGCTATATTTTCAACGTCAAATTAAAATTATAAATAATGGAGCTACAATTCCTGACTTATTTTGCTGAAATTTTCTCCTCTTTCAGGATCTTTTTTGAAATTTCAGCTATCTTCAATATTTTTTTAGTTATAGTTAAAAAACGGAGACTCCCTTTTTTCTCTTCGTTTTTTGTTTATAACAATTGCTATTTTTAATTGCGGATAAATTAAAAAATACTTCTTTCTCTGAATTTAATTCCGAATCCAATGTACTAACAACCATATTTTTAGGATTACAATAACTATTTTTCGCAAAAAAAACTCACTTCTCGACTAGACTAGTGGTTTCCTTCTTATCGGTAAGTAGCTACTGATTTGTAGATTGAAACAGAAATCTACCTGAGCCAGACCAATTTTTAAGCTGTAAATTTATTTTGAAACTACCAAGGCTACAATATAAATAACGATTTTATGTGGGACACCCTGTACGTAAAATTTAATCTTTATTCTTAATAAAGAAAAATTAGTACATATTATTGGTTTTTTATGCGTTATATTTTCGTACTACTTAAGCTTTACAAAATCTTATTACTTAGGTACCTACCTACTTTTAAAATATTACCCATATTTATATATCAAAGATAATATCAGACCATTATGGGTCCCATATTCTGTAAATAGTGTTTTCCGCAAAGACAAATAATTTCAAACATTTAATAACTGAATAATCTAAAGCTTATCAAATAATAGGAATGTTATGTCATGCCACCTGAGTATTTTCAAAGACGCCGGCCGCAGTAAAACGAATAAACAGGTGCAAAAAACGATCAAACCATTAAGGTTTTAGGTACTGAAATCTACGAAAATACTATCTTTTTTATATATAATTCCACATGTAAATATTCTTATAACATTTACTTGCTTAGTCCTACATATAAAATTGTTTACTTTTTATAAGTACGTGAAAATAATTGTTAAAATGTGGGGTTAGGATAATAGCAAACGCATGTTTTGCAAACGCTTTTTTTTAGTTATTATTTTATTTGGGTAAATTTAAACGGTAACCATGAATAAACAAAACATCAAGGATTTTATTTTTGTGCTTACCCCTACTTTTGTTCTACACGTTTTACTTTTAAAGATTTCAGTACCTAAAAACGCCAGAAATTTCACTATTTCTCGGCCAATACAATTTACAATAAACCAACTCTGTGTTTTCGCTTTCATTTTCAAGGGTAGCGACACCTGTGACAGAGTACACAAACTAATTTTATTTAGAAATTCTTGTAGAAGATAGAAACCGCTAAAATTCTGGTTTAAATATATAATATAATATAATATAACATGGAGTCGTGTGTAAAATGTTGTCATCTTACTTGAGGACACAAATTATAGAATTGTTAATAAATATTAATCTGAAAATTAAATACAAATGATCCTAAGTGTCCGTTCTAGTGAGTGAAGTAGTTTGGTTATTGTGCCTGACTTAGTTCCGTCGTAAATGCAATATATTGTCAGACTAACAGTATGGTTAAAATTGAGGTACTTTGGCATTTATTTAAATTATTCTTCTGTTCTCATGAGCATTGAAATTTATTTCACTCACTAGCGGGAACCATTGCGAATACATTGATATATAATTCAATATAATGATAATATAATTCAATATAATGATATATAATTCAATTATGTTAGTTTCTTCGACGATTTGTGTCCTCATCTGAAGCTCTGTTACATGGTAAAAATATACATACTAAATCGCCCCCTTAAAGCAAAGTAAATTTTAGGCAGAATATTAACAAAAATTTTAATTTGTCTTTTTAATACATATTAGGATAAAATTAAAACTACCTTGCTTCCTGCATCTAAAGAATTTTCAATTCCTTGTCCATGGACATTATACTGACGATCAATACCACCAGTACTTTGATATCCAGCACCATACGAGGATTGTGTATAGCCAGCGACATCTTGGACTGACGCGTGTCCTAAGTTTTGGTAAAGTCCATGGTCAGATGAAGCTAAATGCGTAGGAGCCACTGGTAAATAGTAAAGATAAGGTTGCTGCAGTAAACCAGACTGCTGGCAGTCGCATTTACAACATTCGGCTTGTGCTGCTAACACATTAGCAAGGCATACGGTTATCTGAAACATAGTTTGATTTTTCAAAAATAATTACTCTTTCATCGAATTATTTAGTTAACGTAGCATTAGATGCGTTTTTATGAAGAAATTAAGTTTTTTAATAATATTTTTGTTGACCACTGCTTGACAGAAATTCACGTTACCTAATAAAATTGTTTTGGGATATTAAATCAGTGATTGAAAGAATCTTTAAAACTGCAAGCGACCCCTCCAAAAATAACCACCGGTACTCAAACCATCCTTAATGGCTTAGTTTGAGTGTGAGAAAGATAAAGGTAACCTACAAAGTTTATGTCATCGACACTCAAAACATGTTGGTAGATAAATATGCAAATATTTAATTAAAACTAATAACTTCCAAACCGGTCTGTGTCTGGGGGTTCTCCTGACGAATGATCTTAGTTGTTTAATTGCGAGAATGATTTAATGCTGGACGGGGCCAGTAATCTGCAGAGTCTTTGTTTTTCACGCTATGAGTAATTAAAAAATGTAATAGCTTATATCTCGGTAATTACGAATAGTAAAAAAGTGAATACGCTCCGTTAAAACAATTTTGGAGAAACGAATCTATCACGCCAAGTCCATATGTGATAGCTTTCGAAATTTCCGAAATACAGAGTGCTCAGGTTTAAATTGAAAAACATTAATGGTAGTAAGGACACACTCAACTGACTTCGAAGCATTGGTTCTTTAACATTAACCGTTATAACTTTGGAATCATTCCATATACCTGGATCAAATTTTTTAGTAGGTATAGTAACCTTTTAATCCAATCCAAAGCGAAATATAATTACTATTAAAACCTTCTAAAAACGGATTGTTTTTTAGTGTAGTCTTCAGCATCGATAATGTCACCATTAATGTACATCAATAAATGTATGTAGAAGGTGTTAGAGTTACAAAGTTTATTTTGGTTCTTCTGCGCTAAGGCTAAAATTGACAAATAAATATTTCTTTGGGTGATAAACTAGGTATATGTAGAATATTTTAAAGTAGTTCTTAGACCTCATTCAATAACTATCAAGCCCTAGCTTTTACAGATAAATATTTAGCAATTCCACGAAAAATGTTAATATCGTTACATCTAAATAAAGAAGATCTACATATAGGTGAAATGCCATTAAATTTTAGTTTTTTTTTGTCCAATTAAATAAGCCTTTAAATCGAAAATTTGGTCAACTTGCCTAAGTTAGTTTGAGGTATATTATAACAATAAGTGACAGTAATTTTTTGTTCAACCCCCGGCCAAGAGTGAAAAAAGATAAAACAAAGAAGTTTTTCAAGATAACTCAAAAGGGGCAAGGGCTAAAAAAAAAGTTTCTTATAGAAGTTGTAAAGCATACAATTCTACATAAAAATGGCATCTAGATTTTTTCTTGTACTATTAAAATTAACAGAGTTAGGGAGGCTAAAAGTTAAGGGAAGATTTCAGAAGTTTAAAAAAATCATAACAAGCAGAAAAACGAATGAATTTTATATATTTTTTTTCATTCTACTCTAAAAAATGTAAAGAGACGCGTATTTTTTTTATCGGCGGAAAAACATATTTACGGGGTGAAATACACCCTCAAAGTTCGCCCTCCAAAACAGTTTTTTCAAAATATCTGGGGTTCTAATCAATATTTTTAAATGAAACAAAATAGAAATTACTTATAATAAAAAAACAAATATTTTGCAAGTGATTCCGTGTTTGGGGATTGTTACCCTTATTTTTTATTTCAGAAAAACTATATTTTTTATTTATAAAAAAATCATATTTACTCAAAAAAATTAAAAATATGATTTATGTAAACAAATTAACAAAATTAAATTGACCTGTTTTGAGGTTTTCGTTAAAATCTCTGTTTAAGGGGGTGAACAACAAATTTGAAATTGTTATAACTTTCTTATTAAAAATTAAAAAATATAGGTTACATTTTTTAGAGTAGATCGAAAAAAAATTACAATTTCTGCTTATGATTTTTTTAAATTTCTGAAATCTTCCCTTAACTTCTAGCCTCCCTAACTCTGTATGCTTTACAACTTTTATACGAACCTTTTTTTTCTAGCGCTTGCACCTTTTGAGTTATCTTGAAAAACCCCTTTGTTTTATCTTTTTTCACCCTTGGCCGGGGGTTGAACAAAAAATTACTGTCAATTATTATTATAACATCCCTCAAACTAACTCATGTCAAAAATTCAAGCAAGTTGATCAAATTTTCGATTTAAAGGCTTATTTAATTGGACTATTTGAAACCTTTGCAATTTAAATATTCTAATTAGTCTCACGGTGAATCAATATTGATTACGATACGATCTTAGAATAAGAAATAAAAATAAACATTGTAAATCTAATGTCCAATTTGGTTAAATAATATTATTTTAGAAATATTATAAGTTCTTCTTTTTTATCTAGTGTTTATTTATTTTTTCTTAATAACAGCCACCAAGCGTGCTCCACCAAAAATTATTTTATTCTGTTCCATCACCTTTTCTAATGTTCGCCAAGGTTTGTCAGAAGATAGAAGGTTAGGTATCGTATATTATCGACACCAGAAATATCGTTAAAAAAATATTGAAGCCAACCCTAGAATTTTAGTACAGTATTTGATTTTGATTTCATCAAAAGGGTATATACTTACAAAATGTTGTCCCAATACAGGATGTTCCACCTAAGAGAGATTTTTCTGTAACTCTGTAACTGTCGTTTTGCGTTTTGTTTTAGTTGTTGTTAGTGGTTTACTTTTGCTTGTCAAACCACTTTTTAAACATGCCAGTAAATATTGACACTGTCAGTCCCAGGCTTGATAAAATATGACAGAAAAATGGTTTTGCAAGGCCTTCTTGACGCTGTTACATAGCTACTTTTTCGGACTTTAGAAAAGAATCTGATTTTTCTGCAAAACTATTAGAGATACTATGGACAACCTTATATCAGTCGAAAGGGCATTCAATTTTGCATTCACCCATGACAATTAATATGGGTCATTCCATTTGAAAAAAAAAAAAGTTTTTCAACTCGTAAAATTAAATGTAGGTCTCAGTATCTCCGAATCTGATTAAGGTACACGTTTTGCTCACAGATGACAAGATAGAGTAATTTATGCTAAAATGAACTGGGAAAACTGCAGGTTTCTAACTCTTTCGGTTTAGATGCTATCTAGCCTCATTTCGAGAGCTGAAATCGTGATTCTTTTCAAAAACAACAAATTATCTCGAAACGGTAAGTTTTAAACACCATGTACATTTAATAAACACTACCTAATATTAACAAAGGAATTCAAAAATGCAATAATATGCAGGGTGTTCCATTTAAAACAACAAAGTTATGTAGCGCTCACGCGAAATGGAACACCCTGTAAAGCTGAAAATATTTTCTTTACATGGCCCACATAATTCCAGGCAACTTTTATTAAAACCATTTTTTTATCAATTTTACAGTTGCAGTGTTACAGAAGAATCCCTCTTAGGTGGAACACCCTTTATATGGAAAGGTTCTCAAATTATAGCGGCTTTTAATTTCAGTCAAAGTCACCAGAACACCCTGAATATTAACGTTTAACGATTAACGTTAAAGATTTGAGGAGTGTTTTGAAATCATTACCTTTCAATGAAGTCTATAATTTTAAAGGACCCCGCACAAATCTTATGGAAATTGGGTCCTTGTCAAATTCGCTGAATTTTTGATATGTGATAGAGTTCATCATACTGGTCAATTGTCTCAATGGCCACAAAGCTCAAAAATGGATAGTTTGGCCGGTACAGAGCTTTAAAGCTCCGAATATCCTCCACGGATTTATGTATATGCGCAGTGTGTATAGACTTTTGAAATAGCCTATTTCATTTTTTTTATTATCTAGGTTTATATTTTTGAGGTTGCTGAATTCAGATCTGTTGTTAGATTTTCAAAATTGACAGTTGGCAGCTGTCAACTAGCTGTCAATTTGCTATAATAAAGCCAGAAACTTGTTTTTTTATGATTTATTTTTTTTTTTTTTTAGTTCGATAAGTTCAAAGACGATATCAAATCAATAACAATGACTATCGGCAGCTGTCATTTAGCTGTCAACAATTCTTCAAAGTCCGGTAATAAAGTCAAAAAATTATTTTTTGTTTATAACTTCAAGTTTTTTAGATAAGTGAATATAAATATGATATAAAATTATGTAGTCATCAGCTTACAGCTGTCAACAAGCTGTCAACTAACTGTCAAAATGCAATAATAGAGCAAGTAACTTATTTTTTGTGCTTAACTTTGTGGATAAGAAATCAAACATGATATAAGTTTATGACATCACTTTTGAACTCAGTGATCTAAGCAACTTAAAGCTTTTTAAAAAAAGTAACTTTTTGACTTTATTATTGCATTTTGACAGTTAGTTGACAGCTTGTTGACAGCTGTAAGCTGATGACTACATAATTTTATATCATATTTATATTCACTTATCTAAAAAACTTGAAGTTATAAACAAAAAATAATTTTTTGACTTTATTACCGGACTTTGAAGAATTGTTGACAGCTAAATGACAGCTGCCGATAGTCATTGTTATTGATTTGATATCGTCTTTGAACTTATCGAACTAAAAAAAAAGAAAGATAAAACATAAAAAAACAAGTTTTTGGCTTTATTATAGCACATTGACAGCTATTTGACAGCTGCCAACTGTCAATTTTGAAAATCTAACAACAGATCTGAATTCAGCAACCTCAAAAATATAAACCTAGATAATAAAAAAAATGAAATAGACTATTTCAAAAGTCTATACACACTGCGCATATACATAAATCCGTGGAGGATATTCGGAGCTTTAAAGCTCTGTACCGGCCAAACTATCCATTTTTTGAGCTTTGTGGCCATTGAGACAATTGACCAGTATGATGAACTCTATCACATATCAAAAATTCAGCGAATTTGACCGGGACCCAATTTCCATAAGATTTGTGCGGGGTCCTTTAACATAATCGTGTATAACACAGATTTGAGAAATTTCGGAATTGATTTCAAAACAACAGCTCTAATTAAAATTGA